GAAGCCGTGGCAATTATCCCGATTCATACATCAAGTGAAGCTGAGATTCATACAGTAGGATTAGACCAAACTAACCAAGCCATGGTTTAACTTTAGGGGAACCCAGCCGGTAGGCTTGTGTGAAAGAGAAACAAAATAGCCTGTGTGGAGAAGGGATGTTGTTTGATGTTTGTTTTCAGGAAAACAATCCTTTAAAAAAAAAAATCTTCCCTTTGTTTCTCATTGATGAGAAGCAGCACTGGGGCTATTTTTGATAGACTGTTAACGCTGATCCAGCTTGCACACTCCAGAGCCACAGTGAGCTTTCCAGCATCTTTCCACACCTCCCATCATCTATCTGTTCTTTTCACACCTGTCATCATCTATCTATTTCCATAAGTCCCTCAGCATGGTGATGCCTGTGTTCCCATAAGAGCCAAAGACCTCAGATTTACGTAAACACGGCATTTAAGAAGCACCGGTTTCAAAGGAGTTTATGCATATTCAAAATTGCAATCATTGCCGTTCAGAGGACGCATTGCCATTCAGAGCGGTGCGCAAGATGGGCTGTGGGTGTGTAAGCTAGGAGAACATGCATGGCTGTTAATTGTACATTTTGACTTAAAGTCTGGAGAGGAGGAGGGGGAGGGGGAGAGGGAGGAAGAAGACTGTAGGATCCTTGGTGCTTTCTGAGCTTGGTTGTTTCCTTCCAAGACATTTCATTACCCAACTAGGTAACATCATCAGTGCTAGAAGAGACTGGGGTTTGCTGTCTGTTTATACATAAGTGGCTTCCCCCGCCAGTGTCTTTTCTCTCTCTCTCTCTCTCTCTTTGACAGCTGTCTCATTTCAAGCAGCTGCAGAAGGTCTTCAAACACAGCCTTGAGGATCCTTTTGGAGCTACACAAGCAGCAATCGTGCACCACTCTGTGGCCTGAGGAGGTTAGCAGAAGGGAAGCAACGTCCCTGTTCCCATCCCTCCGGTGTGTTTGTGAAATATTTTTCATGCCTTGCCTTTTCACAATGGAAATCTCCTTTCTTTACTGACTTGGCTCGGCCGCCGGGGGGCGCTGTGGATGGAACCTGCCAAACAAGGCAATTTAGCAGCAGCAGCAGCAGCGTCTTTACTTCGTGTGTGTACATATTGTTTGGTGCACATCTCAAGCGCTGCTTTGCGTCAGTGGAACCTGTGAACCTTGTCGTTGTGGCTGACGGCTTTGGTGTGGTGTGTGAGTCCTGTCAAATGTGGCTTCTTCTATCCATCGAGAGTAAAGGAATCACGAATGAGCATCTCCTCTGCATAAAAGCATTCTGGAAAGAGAGTGCTTAATTGTTCTTATTTTCTCTCTTCCCCCCCCCCCATTAGTATTTTTAGCCTTGAGAGTTTACTCCCGTGAAGCCCAGAAGCTGTGGCTAATGATTAACTAATTATAAATTTCAGGGGAAATGATTCCGTTCCTTGTAATTATCGGGAAATATATTCTGGGAAGCCTATACGAAATTGACAGACGGGTGGGGGGAGGGTGGGAGAATTGCAGGGGCTCCCTTTGATGATCTGAGCTGGTGCACGAGAAGACTCAGCTGCAGAAAAGTAAAATTCCAGATGAATACAGGCAGTCTTGACTTACGACCACAACTAGCCGAGAGAGAGAGAGAGAGAGAGAGAGAGAGAGAGAGAGAGAGAGAGAGAGAGAGAGAGAGAGAGAGGAGGGAGGGAGGGAGGGAGGGAGGGAGGGAGGGAGGGAGGAGAGAGAGAGAGAGAGAGAGAGAGAGAGAGAGAGAGAGAGAGAGAGAAATAGAATTCCTCCTATCCAATCTCCTTTTCCTACCAACATCAAGATACCTCGAAGAAGCACCAAGGAGCATCCTGATGCAGAAGCCCTTGCTATCTGTCAACCAGTAAAGTGATATCTTGACCCTTAGGCTGTGATAATATAGAACAGGTTAAGAACGTGGGAGCCTAACTTCCCACTGACAGTTCAAAGTTCAAAGATAACGTTAGAAAGTCTTACTGCACAGAAAGAGTGGTAGATGCTTGAAACCAACTTCCAGCCGAGCTAGTGGGCCAATCATCAGGAACTGATTTTAAAGATGCCTGGGATAAACATATGTCCGTCAGCCAACAAATTTTTTTTTAAAAAAGAAAAGAAAAATAAATTGTAATTAGTCATTAAAAATAATGAATAAAAGAAAAAGAAAAGCAGACAAAAAGCCTCAAAGGGCAGACTCTTTTTCTGCCATCGGTTTTCTGACTTTCTCTCAAATAATAGCTAGCCAACTTGATCGCCTCTACATTTGTTTTTTCCTCCAATAATAAGTCGTTGTTCAGTTCAGCAAAGGTCCCATGAAAACAGACCACAATAAAATGCGACTCCAGCTGCTGTTTCCTCCGTTTCTCATGCAACACTGAACATCAACAGCTGTCTAGGGACATCCGGTTGAATCACTGAGTTTTCAGAAGACTTTTGCTCCAGTCTTGTTTAAGGACATTGCCCTGTCTTTCTAGTTCTCGTCTTGGAACCCAAGTTCCAAATCCAGATGAGTTTCCTGGTAAGTCATTGAATGCATGCTCAAAGGACCAGCAGAAGTGGCCTGAAGAGGCTTCTTGGATGAGAAGCGAAACATCTTCAAAAAACATCCCAAGAAAGTCCACGCTCTGAGCTTCAGCTTCAGAGCTGAAGAAGCTTCTTGGATGAGAAGTGAAAGGTCTTCAAAGAAAAAACCAGCTGCCTCTTGAGAAATCATCTTTGACCTGGATGACTGAGAATCCTCATAGACATGTGGCCTCTAAGACATTCTTCATCCTTTCATTGGTGAGTTCAGACCTGCAAGGAGCTGGTTGGTTGAGCTGTAGAGGAAGCAAATTTCAAGAGTCTTCCTGACCCATCGTTTTTTTATATCCTGTGGCCCCAAGATCAATATAGCCATCCAGGAGCATCAATCTCATCCTACTGGAAAGTCTCTGAATGATCTCAAGTAAGCTACTCTCTTGGAGACCCAGCTCTCCAACCCACACTACAGCCATAATATATATGGATTTTTGGAATACAGTTACTTGTAACTGTCAATGCTATTACTTGACTATGAGACCAGAGTGTGGTTCAAGCTTCCAGGGAGCAACATTTAGCTGATCTTGGCAGATCCCAGAAGCCCAGCAGTAGGATAGAATAGAATAGAATAGAATAGAATAGAATAGAACAGAATAGAACAGAATAGAACAGAATAAGGAATAGAATAGAATAGAATAGAATAGAATATTGGAATAGAATAGAATAGAATAGAACAGAATAGAATAGAATAGAATATTGGAATAGAATAGAATAGAATAGAATAGAACAGAATAGAATAGAATAGAATAGAATAGAATAGAATGCAGAATGGAATGGAATTTAGAATAGAGTGTAGAGTAGAGTAGAGTAGAATATTGGAATAGAAGAATAGAATGGACTAGAGTAGGAGTAGGAGTAGGAGTAGAGTAGAGCTGGAAGGGACCTTGGAGGTCTTCTAGTCCAGCCCCCTGCTCGAGCAGGAGAACCTATACCATCTCAGACAGGTGATCTACCAGACAGTAGAAGTCTACTGAGCTGCTATTTCAATGGCGGATTACTACCACAATTGTTGGCCAGCTTGAGAAGATGAAAAAGCCTTCTAGAAAAAAAAATAGTAGTAATAGTTCCTATTATTTTATTCTACTAGATTCCCTTATTCAACTGCGCCAAAAGGAGTCAGAAGTCAATGCTTTTTCTTCTCCCCTTTTTTTCCTCTTTTCCTACCCCTCTTTTCCCATTCTTTTCCCTTTCCTTGGTATTTTCCTATTTTATATTTTGATAGACTCATAAAAAAAAACACCTGGCTAGAAATAATAGCAACCACATGCTGCTACGAAAACTGCTCGGATGGAGCCCCCCTCAAGTAGAGCCGAAAACGTCTTTTTAAGCTCTTATCTTCTTTTTCCCAAGGACAACAATGTACTCACCTTGCCGGCAGGTGGAGCCAAGGAGCAGCTCCTAAAGCTTCTGAGCAGCGCGGCTCGAGTCGCCTGCACGCACCACACCGACCTCGGTTTGCTCGGGGTTTGCACGCGCCGCCCCAGCCCACCTTGAAGTATCCCCTCATCCACCCACCCACCGGGGCTTACAGCTCTGGAGTCCCCCCGATTGCCCACCATGAAGTAAACCCAAAGGAGAAAGACGGCCAGGTGGGGTCTAGTATCCTAGTCTCTCCTGCTTGAGCAGGGGGCTGGACTAGAAGACCTCCAAGGTCCCCTCCCCAGCTCTGTTCTGACTCATGGTGCCTTAGGGAGACGGGCCTTCTCACCTGGGAAAGCTGCTATCTGGGGCTCGCCAAGCTGGGGTGTCTTGTGAACGGGGTGGGTGGCGGTGGGGGTCGGAGGGGGGGGGCTCAGTGACGCCCGCCAACTTCCCAGCAATTCCCAGCGCTTGGCAAGAGAATAGAATAGAATTCTCGCGGGGCCGAGGAGTGGGTGGGTGAGTAATTGGGTGGGTGGGATCCCTCGTCTCCCAAGAGGGCGTTCGAACAACCTCTCGCCAGGCGGCGGCTTAAGCGCCTGGAGGAGCGCAAAGGTCGGTCGTTGCGGCGGGCTCCTTCCTTCCTTCCTTCCTCCCTTCCTTCTTTCCTCCCTCCCTCCCTCCCTCCCTCCCTCCTCCCTCTCTCCTTCCTTCCTTCCTCCCTTTCTTCTTTCCTCCCTCCCTCCCTCCTTCCTTCTTTCCTTCCTTCCTTCCCCCCTTTCTTCTTTCCTCCCTCCCTCCCTCCCTCCCTCCCCTTCTTCCTTCTTTCCTTCCTTCCTCCCTTCCTTCTTCCCTTCCTCCCTCCCTCCCTCCCTCCTTCCTCCCTCCCTCCCTCCCTCCCTCCCTTCCTTCCTTCCTTCCTTCCTTCCTCCTTTCTTTCTTTTCTTGGCTCGGATCCGAAGCAGGGCAAGAGAGCAATCTTTGCCCGGAGGTTGGCTCAAGACGCGGAAGCAAGCCGGCTCCAAACGGGAAGAAGGGACTTGCGGGGCGGGTGTTTCGCATTAGCTCCAGCTGCTGGGGGCTGGGGGGGGGGTTTGCGGCTGGCCGAGGGGCTCCAGTCAAGGGTAGAAGCCGGGGTAAGGAGACCACCGGACCGGACTAACAGCCGCCTTGCCGCTCACCTGGAGAAAGGCGGAACGCCCACGATACCCGGCTCAGGAGCGCGCAGGGCCCCCGGTCCGCGCGTTCTTTGCGCGCTCCGGCTCTACGATCCAGAAACTCCGAAAAAGGAAAAAAGGAGGGAGCGATCCCACCCAGCAGGAAGGAGGGAAAACTTTTTTGGGGCGGGGGGGGGAGCAGAAGGAATTGCAATTCGGATCAGCCGGAGGTGAGTTCAGAAGAAGGTTGAGCCCAGGTAGGTCGCCACTTTCTCTTTGCGCGTCGGATGATGGTTTGGCATCGTGGTTTTTTGAGCACGAGGGTAGCTTGAGTACAAGTCGGCAGCACTGAGCTAGGAACGGAGCAACGACCCGCCGCGGCTTCCAGTTCCCCAATCCGGATTTCATGGGGAACAGCCTACCCTACAGGGTTGATTTTTTTTGGGCGCCGGCAGGGACTGTCTCAGGAGCTGCTGAAAAAAAAAAAAGTGGACAGCCCAGGCTGGTAATGCATCCAGTCTGCACTGAGCAAAAAGGGGAGTCTCTTTTGTAACTGAAGGAAAGCTTTTTTTTTTTTAAATCATCAGAAAAAAAATATGTCAGTGTGACAGGTGTTCATTCCCAGGCCCACCTTCCTTTTTATTTATTTATTTATTAACTTTATACACACACATACACACAAACATATATATTTCTAAAATTTGGATTGCTAGCAAAGAATTAAAGGAGAACTGGAATAGCCATTTCGAACTTTTTAGTTCTTATCATACCTTTTCTGAGATTCGAACCTGGGCTGTCTGCATGTTAAGCAGCTGTGTTACATGATGTCGCAGTTGTGACTGACATGTCTGGATGGCTCTAGTTTGAGCTGATACAAGGCAAAAGATTTCTTTCTCCCATATTTGGGTGGACAGGGTTTATCAAATAGCACCATATATATATATATATATATATATATATATATATATATATATATATATATATATATATATAACAAAATTTTTACAAAAACTATACACAATAGGAACTAAATTTAAGAAAAGACAAATTCAAATATAAGGAGGCTGAGGTTTTCTGATGCCTTCTCTTGCTGCTCTACCTGTGCACCAAGGGATTAAGACAGAGGTGTGCAGGGGGGGGAATCCCCCCTCAAATCAAAAGCATCCAGAGTCATTTTGGATAACAAGTGGGTCAGTATATAAATTTAATCAATTAAGCTCCTTTGTCACTTGTGAATAGAAATACCAAAAAAAAAAAAACCCCCCACCCCAAACCCAACAAGACACGTTTACTTGGCTACTGATCTCTTAGGAGTAATGACCTTGGCAACTTGTGGACTTCAACTCCCAGAATTCCCTAGACAGCATGGGATTCTGGGAGCTGAAGTCCACAAGCCTTAAAGTTGCCAACGTTGGGACGTAGGCCCTGCCTTATACAACGTCAGAAATGGTGCCACTACTTGTTTGTTTGGAGCAATCCTAAGGCTGCCCAGCTTGAACTCTACAACTGTTTTGCAACCACATACACACACACACACACACACACACACACACACACAAAATCTAAGATAATGGGGTATGCCGATAGGTAAAATGAGAAATCTGGAAAGCTGTCTTGCTTTTACCCTGGATTACCCTGGAATCTCTTAGGTAAGGGGGGGAAAAATGGGCGGAATTTACTGTATTTCCAGGAACAGCTTCCCTCCAGCACTTTCTTTTTCTCTTTCCCTTGAAACATCTGCTGCTGGGATATTAGTAGGTGGGAGGGAGCAAACCCCCCCCCCCAATATCCTATTTTATACTGTCTGGGGAAGTAGGGATGAGCAAGAGTCAGGATTATGGTTTCTGGAGTGTATTTAAAACCTGGCAAAAAGAACAGGGTCCAAACATTCAAAATAAGTTTCAGCACCAGTGTTAAGTCTGGGGCAGCAAAAACAGCATCGGCTCCTGCATGATGATTTAGTGATAATTTAAAAACCATCAAACTGTCCATATTAATAAAAGTCTTAATTTTAGAAAAATAGATCGATAAGGCTGCCAAATGGGGCAGCTCAGAATAGCCTCAACACTAGCTCTGCTCCTTTAAACAGTTTTCCCAGGACGTGTGCAAACTGGGAGAGTCCAAGAGGTTAAAAAAAAAAAAAAGGACCACAGTTGTGCAACTGAAGTCCTGATCCTAGTTTATTTGCATTGCAATGTATGTAAATAAGGGGCAGGGCTTTGATTGTGTGGTTAGATCATCATCTTGAGGTGTGTTTTTTTGTTGTAGTTGTTTCTTGTTTTAAATCTGCTATGGGTGTCCCCAGTTTTCCATTTTCCTAAGCTCCTTTTCCCCCCCACATCCCGAAATAAATCTTGCTGGAAAAAATGAAAAGCAAAAAGTAGATTCAAACGAAAAGACCAGGATTGACTTCAAAGCCAGGGGCAAAATCCTCACTAATGGACATAACCTGGTCCCTGAATTAATTACTTTATTTTCTGGATTCAGACAATATAGTGAATAATCAGCTCACTCTGCATTTGTATGGCATGCTAAGCTGCATACGCACATGCCAGCCCAACCAAGATTAAAACTAACCATAGTTAGCATGGGATGGAGTTGCTATAACTTTAAGTTTTAACTGATCTGGGCAAGTGGGTATATCTGGACCCTGTGTTTGTGAACTGTTCCAATATTAGAAATGTGGAGCACTTGAAGATGAAGGTTTCTCAAAGTTCAATGGTCCTTCTTCTAAGTTTTCTTTGAAAATGAATTGATGGGTAAGGAAACAGAAAGCGTTGTTTTGTTCTTGCATAATATTCTTGGCTTGCATCACAAGGCATGTTAATGAAAGTGTCCGTTGGCTTGAAAGGGAAGTTAAGAGCATTTATCAACAATGAAAGTTTGTCCTTGAGTTTGTCCAAAACGTTGGAGAGAAGAGAATATTTAGAATCAGAATAGAGCTGGAAGGGACGCTGGAGGTCTTCTAGTCCAACCCCCTGCTCGAGCAGGGGATCCTATACCATTTCAGACAAGTGACTGTCCAGTCTCTGCTTAGAAACCTCCAGGGATGAAGCACCCACAATTTGTAGCTCAGAGTTGAAGCGTGGGGTCCTTGGCGCTCTCTGAGCTTGGACCCCACGAGGAAGCTCAGAGAGCGCCAAGGACCCCAGTTTGGAGAGCTGCAGATGAACAAAAGAACTGCAGTTCTGTGGTGAAAAAACTTCTTGTCGGAGTGTTGCTGTTCACGGTCTCTTTCTCAGTGAGTGATCAGTTCCTCTTGCTAAGTGCTGATGGTCCATTTTGGTTCCCCCTTTTCTAGGCAGGCAGCGTCGAGGAGCAGAAAAGACCTCGCTGGCTTCCTCTTCAGAGCAGGAAAGGGATGACTTCAAGAGACAGCTGCACAACAACAGTGACCGAGACTTCAGGACACATGTGGGGAAAGTACCGTGAACTTTGAGGAGATGCTGGACTCTGAAGGAAGGGACGTGATGGAGGCGCAACAGGAGAGCAAGCAGAAAGAAGGAGACGAGACCCCTGCCCTGGCGAGCAACCTGCAGCAACAAAGTCCAGCTGCTGCTGGCAATCAATCCCCTCGCCCTTCTGACCGGGCTGAAAGCTTGAATCTTCTCCGCAGTCAATCCACCAACAGGAGCTACAACCGGGCGAAGAGGCATTCGGCAAAGTGGGGGGCCGAAATGAGCCCCTCCCGTCTTTCCATGTCTTGGAGCAGCACGAGGAGGAAAGGCCTAAAGGAGCTTCTCCTGCAGACCAGTCAGGCCAGCCCTACCTGGCTTACCCCTTCCCCCAAAGACTCCATCCCGATCGATAGCCAACAGGTAGAGGATAATTTCTCAGAGGTGGCTTCTGAAGAGCTGTGCTTAGCTCTGGACCCCTTGGAGCACGAATGGATGTTGACGGTGGCTCAAGGAGACCCGGAAAGCATCCTTGACCTGTTAGCCAAGGAGCCCAGCTTGCTTTCCAGGAGAGATTTTGTGACTGGTTTTACCGTCCTCCATTGGCTGGCCAAACACGGCCGTCACGAAGCCTTGATCCAGGTGATGACTTTCGCAGAGAGGAATGGCTACCCAATCAATGTTAATGTACCCACGGCCAGCGGGAGACTGACTCCACTGCACCTGGCTGCTCTTCAGGGTCACGTGATGACCCTCAAAATCCTGGTAGGAGCCTTTGGGGCCAACACCAGCCTCAGAGACCACAATGGCCGCAAAGCCTGGCAGTACCTCCACGCCAGCGCTCCCAGAGAGTTGAAGGAACTCCTGGGGGCAACTGAAGAAGACTTGGCCGTCCCAGGAGCGGGAAACACCAACAACAACTGTGCTCCTTCAAGATGGAGTTGGATCGGGGCCTTTCGAGCGGAAGGCCACAATGCTGAGACTGCAAGGCCAGGCCAGAGGGCCAGTCCCACGGGGTCTTATTTGAGGAACATCTTCAGGCAAGCCGCTGCGTTCTTTCAAGATCATTAGAGATCTCCCGGGTGGGATCATGGTGTTTGGGCTCCTGGCTTGGACTGATCCTCACGGCCGCCATTAGAGACACAACGGTTTAAGAAGGTGGAGGAAGCCGTAGGGTGGTTGATGAAATGCTCAGATTATCTCCCGAGTTTTAGCAAACCTACTTATACTTTAGTCTCCGGGATAAGAACTCTTTTTTGGCTCAAGGAAGTGGATACGGGGAGGAAGACCCTGGCATTTGTTCTCTAAAGCAGAGGTCTGCAATCTTGAGATCTTTAAGACTTGTGGACTTCAGCTCCCAGAATTCCTCAGCCAGCATAGCTGGGAGCTGAAGTCCACAAGTCTTAAAGTTGTCCAGGTTGCAGACCCCTGCCCTAAAGGGCTGTGAATATATGATGTGCAAAGAAATTGAATTCTGCATCTGGAAAAATTCTCACCTTGTCCTGGGAGAATGCAGGAGATTACATTACGCAAAGATATGTGCATATCTTTGCATAATGTACTCGGATTATGCTAGGCCGAAGGAGTAGCAAAGAACTTTATTGAGAGTGGACAGCCCCACCTTTGGTGATTGAAAAACCTCTAAATCACTTGCTTCTGACAGCTCAACAATACAATTTGGCAAGCTTTTTAAAATCCGAGTTGCAACACTTAAGGAAGCAGAATATAACACCGGCTGCCAGTTCTTTCAGCAGGATGGGGTGGAAAAAGAGTCAGAAATAATATGTCTTTGAAAACCAGATTTTGTCAGTCTTACCCACCGTGCAATTCAGGGCTGAGCTAAGTTCAGCCGTGCATTTTACTTTACGAGAATACTGAAGGCTTAGAGTTGTCTATACAGATTTTGGATTTTAAGATAAGAAGATAAAGAGTTGGAATGCTCCACAAACGCATGTTTTTTGGGTGTGCTTTGCCTGTCCTGCGTTTCGAAAGAACGTTAAGGAAGCGCGCTTAAGTTAGACCAAGCCCTTCCTGTTAATGTGGCAAACTTTGCAAAAATTTCAGCAGCAAGCCTCTAGGAGAGGGATCGCCAAACGTGGCAACTTTAAGACTTGTGGACTTCAACTCCCAGAATTCCTCAGCCAGCATGGCTGGCTGGGGAATTCTGGGAGTCGAAGTCCGCCAATCTTAAAAGTGGCGATACCCCTGCTCTAGGATACTGTTTGATAGTTGCCTTGTTTGATCAGTCATTTTTTTTGTTTTGTTTTGCCCACCTGGTTTAATTTGTCCTTCCTGCTCCCCGATCAAAAGAAAAGCGCAACCAAGAGCGTAAGTTTTAATCTGCAGGATCTCCAGTGAAAGACCTGAATTCACCTCAAAGGAGACCTTAACATTAATCTATTTTAGGAGTATAGAGTTCTGAGAGCTTCAGGGATATTCTCTGTTTTAAATAAAGGATATTTCAACTAACATTGTCCCTTTTGTTTTTTTTGTGAACGGGGGGCGTCCTGGTGGGCAAAGAAGTCTTTAAACCTTTGAGCAGAAATGTGAATCGGTGTTTCGCGTATGGCCCCAAACTGGGTGAATCCAGAAAGCTCTGGATCAGCTAATCATGAGTTGCACCAAGAGAATCATGTACTACATGGTTGAAAGAGGATGGAGGGGGTCAAGGTTGCTCACCCCTGTGCTATGGGGGTCAAAGCAGGCAGATTCAAGTATTGGGAGTTTGTTGATATTGCTGCCACTGGCACTTTTGAGAAACCACAAGTTTCGTAACCGGAAGAGGGCATATGAAACTTCAGGAAATGTGCGGGCAGAAGAAAAACAACATTGAGTGACATCTGGTGTTTGCAAAGGCTGGTTGATTCTGAGATGGGGGGGGGGGTCTCTGTTGAAGCAGAAATGGTTCTACCCCAAGAAGGAATTCAGGAATAATAAACACAGGGGGCTACTGTCTTCAGTCCAATGAAGGTAACTAACGGGAGATCCATAACATTCAAACAGCATCTGCCTCTTCGTGGAACCTTCAAGCAATCCGTTGTCTGGCGAGCAACTTCACCATCTAACAGGGATTCGAGCTTCTAACCCAGTCTCCACAGACCAGCATAGGTCATTCCCATCTCTTGTTCTCCCTAGGATTGAGAGCGTATCAGAATACAGATGATACCTTATCCCAGGGGTCTTCAAACTTGGCCCTTTTATGACTTGTGGACTTCAACTCCCAGAATTCTCCAGCCAGACATCCATGGGAGTTGAGGTCCACAAGTCTTAAAAGTTGCCAAGCTTGAAGTCCACAAGTCTTCAAGTTGCCAGGGACACTCCTGGCTTAAGACTTTGTGCTCAATGGCATCACAAGTGAAGGCAAATATACGTGTCCCGGGATAATGTTGCAGGATCCAATCAAGGTTCAAAGCACCCAGAGAAATTCTTTGAGAATGGGCTCCAGCACGAGTCCAAAAGCTCAGAAGATAAAACCTCTGATCCTGGTTAACAGACCCAGATTGGATCCCGATATCAAGCCACCAAGATCCTGTAAGATCAGAAGGATCACCTTGCCCTCAACCAGGTCCAACATTGCTACCCTGATCTACTAATGTAAAGGTAATAGACTAGCAGAGGTTACAAATGTTTGCCTCTAATATTTTTTAACTCCATTGCCAGGAAATAGAAGGCGGTTTCACCTGTACTTGCCTCCTATTGGTAGATTTCTCGAAGGTATCTGTGGAAACCACAAACCAAACCAGGTAGTCCTTGATCTGATTCAACCCAGCTCTTCTCATAGGGTGGCGCCAACTAATTCTTGAAGCAGGGCTGAATTCAAGGTTGGAAGCCATAGCAAGAAATAATGGTGTAAAACATGGCTGTTTTAAAAGTCAAACACATTTTTTAAACGGATTATACTAGTAAGAGGAGCAAAGTCTCCTCCTGGATAAAGCCAGGAAAAATTATTTCAAATGTTACTTTCCAGTGAAAAGGCAGTCTATCTAACACAGAGAGAGACATCTGTATTCACTTGGCTTCAGGTGTCCAAGCTTGTCAACATTAATTCTATGGGTTTTTGAAATCCTGTCCTATCTCCAAAACCACCTGGAGAAAAAAGTTTCAGAGAATTTTTTTTTGAAGGAATTCCCTAAAAATTGCCCAGATCAGCAGCATTACATTTTTAGATCTAAAACTCCTTTTAATCCTTCAGTACAAATGATGGTTAATCAAACCATGTCTTAACATGTATAGTCTTTTAGAGGGACAAGGCATTTATCCCACTAATACAGCTGGTTAAAAGTTCTTTTTCTTTTTAAATAAATCTGAATCTCATTCAATCATGACTTTACAGCTCGGTAAGCATCTTCACTGTAGGTAAAGTCTGCTAAGTCGTTTTTAGCTCCTCAGCTCTTTGAGTTATGGGTATCACTGCTACTTTCTTATACAGTTCGGGTATTTTGTAAATGATTGCTTTCTTAATATTTTGTTAATCCTCATTAAATGCAACTAACTATTCAGAAAATTATTTTGTAACAGCTTCATTGTTGATTCTGGTTCAACCTGCAAAGTGTCTGCGATTAAGAAGCATTTTCTGTCTTTAAACACCGAAAAAACAATTTTCACTTCCTGTAACAGCTTGTAGACTTTGTAAAAATTATATTTACTGAATATAATTAAAAAGAAAAAATACTCCAGAGATGTTTTGCACGCAGTTGATCACAAACCTCTTTTTGGTTTTCTTCTTTCTCCTATAATCTTTTGTACTTTGTCTTTTAAATTTTCTACCTTGTGTTATTTTTTTCTCTGTCTCGAGTTTTCTTAGTTAATGCCACCAGCACTTTGAAACAATGCATTTCCAAACTTGAAACTAATTTATTTGATTTCTATAGCTGTCCATCTCAGCAAACGACTTTGAGCAGCACACAAATATTCTCACATTATTTGCTTGGGATTACTTGCCAAAGTCTTTTATATACTGTCAAGGCTTTCCCTTCAGACGTAAGTGGGTATAAGCAATAAATCCAAACAGAATTTGAAATTAACTAATCTCCTCTTCGTTAATGAACATCTCTCCTCTGGCAGCAGGAATTCAGTCAACACAGCTACGGTGAGAAATAAAGGACAAAAACACGAACACAAAATACCACATTATTTGGTTTTAATTCCTTTGGAAATCTCTTTGTGGAAATAAAAACGTTAAAGGTGGGAGAAAAGTACACAATACACAAGGAGATTCAGTCTTGAAAATAGGGCTCTGTTTAGAAGGGAGGCGGCCTGGGGCACAAAAGCTGGCTGCCAGACAGACATGGCGAAGGTTGCAGCTGCTTCTCTTTACAGGCCCAGCTTGGTTCTTCTCCAATGCCGCCTCTTGGAATTGTACCTAGAACAAAAGAGGTACAATTAGTAAGCGAGACACAGCTCTGAGCGCCTAACAGACAAAAATCTGAACTGCAAGAAGCCAACAGCAACTAAACTAGGGATCTGTAATCTGGAGGGCCTCTTTTACAAAGCAGAGGGAGAACACTTTTCCCATGTCAATCTGCATCCCCTTCCTCATTTAAATGCACAAAAACCCCCTCTAGTGCGTTCATTTTTCAACACAAGCTGCTTTGACAAACAGCCTTATGCAGGGGTTCTCAACCTTGGCAACTTTAAGACTTGTGGACTTCAACTCCCAGAATTCCTCAGCCAGGGAATTGAAGTCCACAAGTCTTAAAGTTGCCAAGGTTGAGAACCCCTGGCCTTATGCAATGTAAGCACAAGGACGGGACCCATAACAAGGTCTAGCATCCCAACATTTGCCCCATCCCCCCCAAAAAATTAAGCCCACAATTAAAGTAATAAGAGATGAGGATGTTACTAGGCTATCATCCAACTGGAATTTATGGACCAGATCAACTAATCAAATCTTTTAGATTAAAATTCAGTGATTTACCCAAATCCAGGTGACTGCTTTCTTTTTAAATAGATCTTCATGCTAACCTCATATGGTGGTGAAGACACACATTTAACAGGCTTCCAAATTATTCATTTACCTCCTCAAACAATTCTTTTTTTCCCCCAACATGTACATATTCTGGCTCTGCACATTTTATACGCATGCTGTATTATATGTAAACTTTATTAAAAGGATGAAGCAGCCCTGACAGATGAAGCAATCAATAAATCTGAATTCCCACGTTACATCCCAGAAAACTTCCCTTAGATATTAGCCCAGTGACATTTGAGGTTCCTCTCAAGAGGACAAAGATGATGAAAACTGTTTTGTGTTTTCCCCACAACGCTTGTCACTGTTAAAAGGAGACAAATTTCACCAGGATGAAGGAGAAATCAAATCCTATGTAACAGAATTGCTCTCAGCAGGGACATGGCAGTGATTCCATACAAGGAAACCCTGCAATTGCAACCTGCTTCGGGAAATTTCCTTTCAGAAAAAAAAGTGTTCCCTTTAAGGAAATAATCTTCACTCATCTGACCTGGAAACAGATCTCAAAGTTTCAGTGCCAAAGAGAAACAAAATGTTGGATGGATAGGAAGGCAAATGTGTTTTGCACTCCAAGAGAAGGGGGTGTATGTGAAAAGAAGCAGAAGGATGAAAAGAGTGTGGCAAGGGAAATCAGGAAAACAAAACAGATGATGAAAAAAGATAAGGAGGATTTGTTAGAACACTGGTTCTCAACCTGTGGGTCGGGACCCCATTTGGGGTCGAACGACCATTTCACGGGGGTCGCCAAACAACGCAGTCTGCCATTTCCCCCCCCCTTTTCCTTAGCTGTGCTACTCCCTTTTATTCTATTGGCTTTGGAAAGCCAATAGAGTAGACTCTCTTGAATAGAGTCTAATTCTATTGGCTTTCAAAAACCAACAGGAATTGTCCAGGCTGTCTCTGCCCTGCTGAGCCCGCCAAAAGTCCCATTCTGCAAACGATGCTGCACCCGTTGAGTAGTCCTCGACTTACGACCGGTTGAGTAGTCCTCGACTTACGACCGGTTGGCGGTCGCGGCATTAAAAAGGTTGAGAACCACTGTGTTAGAAAGTTGTTTGATGCCAGGAGGCAGTCAGGTCAATTATCAACATGGGCTCATACAAAATCAGGTCGATGTTGTTATTTGTAGCAGAATTGGTTAAATAGTATTGATTTTTTTGTATAATCAATGTTTGGGGGCCAATGGACCACCTGAAACTTCACAAAGAGGCTGAGGAGCTGAAGAGTTTGGGACCCCTGATTCAGAAGGAGGATGTAACTGAACTTAAGGCAAGTTTTCTTCAAAGGATAAAATATCCCCATGAAATTGCTAGTGGGGCCTGACTGCAGGCAGGCAACCATCAAGGGCATCTGAAGACGGCTCCTTCCAGAGTTTTTACCTGATCTTATTGCCAGTTTTCATGCGAATCCACTGTGGAATGGGACGGTTCTGCTTCTGCTTCTTAGCGAGGAACCGCTTGATCTTGAACGTCTTATGGGACGACTGGAGATCGGGAAGGAA